CATGAAGCACAGCGAGATGTAGAAGACGCATCTGAAAGGATTCTGGTCCTATAAAAGGATAGAGCATTCGCTTTAAGCACCCCCTTTCTGGAATGCGCTACACGTCTTACTTCCACTTGAAGTCGTAGTAAAAGGAGTGGGTTTGAGTCTGTACCTGACCTGACCTAAATGACCTGCGAGAGTCAGCCAGTCAATATTGTTATCATACCAGGCGAGATCGCGGAGGATGGAGAGCTTGGATGGCTCGGGTGAGATATGAGCTGGGTGACCACAGAATCGCGCTCGTGGCGTACCACGCCACTTACCAATACACTATCTGCCCCTTTCGTAAGATACGTTACGGTAAGTGAACGAATTCACCATGTCTGATGCATTTTTCTCAAACAGCGACGATGCGAGCTGCAAGTGCCTACAAAAAAATTGCGGTCCTTTTCTATGTTGAAGTGCAACGATCGTGGTACTGCATGGTTACTTTGAGTCGAACCAGAACGGACGTGGGTAAAATTTGCCTCAAGCCTGCCACGGTGAATGGTCCGAACTGAAACAGACCATTCCACATTCGTACCTTCCCTGCACGTTTCGTATTGTACGGTCGCCTTTTCATAGGCTTGGCCGAAGCTTTCAATAGCTCCTTGATCAAAGACACAATCCAGACAGAAGTCGTGTGAACGATTCCCTTTGGTTCGCAAGACACCTAGGAAATAACCCCCACTAAGAGGCGCCAGGTGCAGTGCGTCCCTGAACGCGGCGTCGTCCAAGCGTCATCACTGCCTTTTCATCTTACCGACTGTTATCTTAATGGCCATAAAGTGATAGCTGCACTAAATCACCACCGATAACATCGGCAAATATACAAAAACGCGTGAATTGAGTTCGTAGGTGCGAAACTGGATTTTAAGTCACGTACCGTTCAGGGAATCGAAACCGATTTCGTTCAATGAGAAACGTCAAGAAGGTGAACAGACTGACGCAGAAATCGAAACCGCCCCACATAATCATCCAAGTTCGAGCCGCGACCTAAAATTCGAAGAGATGGTTTTATAGGTGATTTATTACTAAAATGAGGCACATAAATAGAATACTTATTCAGAGCACCTTTCTACAGGGAGGGAGGGCTAACTACAGTACGCCGTGCAACCTTTGAAAGCTTTCTAGGCAAATTCTGACTCCACTATCATGAAATTCGACTTACTTCACAAGAATGCTGGGTTATGAGCGAAACTTTCGCCAAAGGCGAGACTGAATATTAGGGCAATACGACTGCCTCGGTAGGCGTAACTTGTTTAACGCACTTGCCGGGTAGCGAAGGATGGGCGGTTCAGAGATCGGGCCCGGGACGATATTTTGTTTCATAAACGCCAACGATTCTGGACAAACATTAACGACGCGCGCTAAAGCAACACTCAATTGGATCAGAAGCAAGTCAGAGTTTTAATGCGACTGCTACTGCATTTTTCGAATCTCAGAAAGGTAAACGATGACTATGAAAAAATCAGAAAACATTAGGGTTCTCTCAGAATTTTTCATAAAATTCAGCCCGTCTCAGTACTGGGACATTTTTTTAAGTACTACGACTCAGGCTCGATTTTGGCCGGATGCGATGATTGTCATATCGGTGCGGTTGAATTTGCGATAGTCTAAATAGTCAAATTTCTTGAGTTTCTCTTACGTACAAAATGAGAGAAAAACCAGAGATGTTTGGTATTTCATAATACTATCATCAAGGAATGTGATATAGACACGAATGGCTAATTAAAAAAGTAATAACTCGATACTAGGCAGTATAGTTAAAAGGAGTATATCCGCAATTGGTGGAGTCAAACATGGGCACTTACGTACGTTATAGTTCGATCACTACAACTCAATGGTTAGCTATAATGTTACAAAAAAACAAAATGGCCTTCTTTCGAGTTTGTGCAGATGCACAAGTACTTATAATTATCCTGCTCAGATTCTATAAGGCCTTCTATTTTTATTTACAAACCTGAAACCTTACTTTTTCCTCGCTGCTGAACATAACATCGGCTCCACATTTGTAGGCACAGACTCCTTCGTTGTCTAATGGGTCGATGTCCAGCAAATCGTGTGGACAGGAAAGTGACGATGGTCGGAGACGATGACGATGTACAGGTCTGTAATGAGCCAGTGATTGATAATTCATACAGTAGCTCGATGTAGAAGTTGAAGTAGCTGAAAATTGCCGTAGAAGTTTAGTTAAGCAAAATTGCAAGATATTAGGTTGGCGGGAAAGTTTTGTCACATTTTTATTAACAAGATCTGTTAATGTACAGAATCACACAAGGTTAAATATATCCACCATCGTTGTCGATACTTCTTGCCAGCGTTCAGGCAGCTTATAGATACCATCCCTCCAAAATGCAGGCTGGCGCGAGGCAAAATACGACGTCAACTCGGTCTCGACCTGAGCGCGAGTTCTGAAGCTTTTTCCATCTAAGTAACGAGATAGATCGGAGAACAACCAATAGTCGGAAGGAGCGATGTCTGGGCTATAAGGGGGATGAGGGAGTACGGTCCATCCATACTTCACGAGCTCCGACTTCACCTCTCTTGCAACGTGCGGTCTGGCATTGTCATGCTGGAAGTAGACTTTTCGAACTTTTCCTACCCTCTGATCGACAATTCGCTTCAAATCTCGGAGCTGCTGCGTGTAGAGATTTGCAGTGACAGTAACTCCCTCATCCAGCAGTTGCCAAAGTACTGGCCCATGTACATCCCACCAAATTGATAGCATAACCTTCTTAGGGTGAACATTCTTTGGGCGAACCTGTTTTGGTGGGGGGGTGGGGCGGTGGTTTCTCCTAGAACCGACCCACTGTGCTTTCCTGTGGAAATTGTTGTAGTAGATCCACTTTTCATCACCAGTGATGAGATGTTCCAGCCATCTATTTCCCTTGTGCAAATTGAGCAGAGTCAAGCAGGCGTCCACACGACGATCGCGATCGACGGGTTTGAGGTGGTGCGGAACATATCGTCCCAGCTTTTTCTTCATTCCCAATTTCTTCAGCCCAGATTCGATAGTGGAACTGTGAACTCCGAGTGTGCTCGCCATTTCCCTCGTAGATTGGAATGGATCCGTTTTCACCACACGCCGCAGCTCACTCAAGTTGAGTTCAGATGGGCGTCCGGACCTCTCCTCGTCTTCAAGAGTGTAGTCTCCCACCTTGAAACGTTTGTACCAGCGAACAATGGTCCTGTAACTGGGAGCATGGTCCTTGTACACATCCTTCATTTTGGTCTCGGCAGCCTTCATATTAGAGCCGGAGTGGTAGAGGAAAAGTGTGACATGACGCAGGTGCTGACGATCTGGGACAAAATCGTTCTCCATACTGCAAAAAGGGGAACTAAAAACCAACTAAGTGTTACTGATAGAAGCAGTATTACCTTGCCTGTTGTTGCTGACGCTGACGCTCAAATCCCGCCAAACTGAGAGGGGATATGCAAAATTCAAAATTGTGTGACAAAACTTTCCCGCCAACCATAATATTAAAGGTTACGGGATGCAAGATGTTACGCGATTGAAGAGGTGCAGGTTATCACACTCACAAATAAAAATATTTATGATAATTAGTCCGCCTGCGACGGAAAATAATAAAAGATAGTTGAGAACTGTCAAAATCACTGCGCGCAGATCCCATAGGAAGTGTTCCACCCTCACCTTGCGGGAGACTCATTGATTGGCCCTTGATCTCAATACGGTAAAATACAGTAACGTACAGTAAACAAATAGAACCAGTCAATGAGTTCACCCGAGGGGAGCGTAACTCCCGTCCTTACGTCCAGGACACAGTAAGATTTTTAGTTTCTCAGCTCTTTTCAGTAGAATTTCTTTTATCAAGGTAGACCAATGCCACAACTATTCCTATTTTCAATCACGAATTTCTTCTGAGTGTTTTTGGAGATCTAATGCTTCATCAAGGCCCTAGCGAACTGCTAAGTCACCAGTTGACCGCCATCCCTCAAATTCAGTACAAAACATGAGCAAAATTGAAGTATTCGGTATTCATAATGCACCCTTTAGAACGAGAGGCACCCCTCCTCAGTGAAAAGCCGTTGTGGCCTACGAGCCGCATTTGCCTCATATATGTAGTGAAATGCAGGAGTAGATAAATTAAGATAGTTAAAATCACAACCATTTCTCGCCCTCCCCAGACATGTCAAGTTACAGTTACCCAACCCAGGGGAAGATTTGCTTGGCACGGCCGGAATTCAATCTAAGATCTAGAATATGTACGTGAGCAGCTCGTGTGTCCACCGGTGCGCAATGGCTGAAATATAGGGCTATCTCACTTCAGGGTTTATTCAGGGTGCCCAATTCCCCCCCCCCCCTTAGTAGACCCTGCAACCTGCGCGGGACTAACG